AAACGATATTTAACCAGGGTGCAATATCAGAAGGGAGGGAAAACAAAGAATGTGGATAGATTTATACAGAATTGAGTGCATTTATGCATATACACGAACTCACAGTCAGAACAGGTATACGCATTAGGGTGTTGACGGTCGTGCACAGGTCGACCATTTCCTGATGCGCTTTGGACAAGCATTCCCTGTGAAAAAAAGAGAACACATGTTGAGATGAAACAAAAGTATGACGAAAAAATAAAAAAATAAAAACGAATGGGCGCAAAGGTTCGCGTTGCAGGTGTTTCCCTAAGTAAAGGAGAAGACTGTTCGAGCACCACTGACGAGCCGAACCTCTCACAGCTGTACTATGCACCAACGAAAAAAAATCAGCGAAACACATGCTTGGGCGTTTGGCTAGTACTTATATCGGGAGTACGGTAAAAAACATTTGCAATATGGAATTTATACTACTTATAATAGTATTTGCTCTCAGAATTGACATTACATGGTTATTCCGCAGTGGCTGATTATCTTCGACTCGAATTGAAACATTGTTTTCCCGGCAGAAATTTGAACAAAGCGAAGATCAAGAGTTGAGCAGAATTTATTGACGTCATAAATTTCGTGACCTCTAATTCATCTGCAAACAGTCATTGCCTGTTAATATAGTAAATTAACTGTCCAATTAGAAGGGTGAAACTTAATAGGTAAATAGGATGGAAAACCTAAGTCAAAAATGTGGGTTCATAGTGAGGGGCAGAGTTAGGTTACTATATTAACAGGCAATGACCGTATGTAGATGAATTAGAGGTCACGAAATTTTATGACGTCAATAGATTCTGCTCAACTCATGATCTTCGCTTTGTTCGACTCGAATGTTCCTTGACCCCAAGAAGTCATGCGCTGGTCACTTAACTTCTGGTCCTGAATTTATGCATTATTTAAATTATTGAAGCATTGTTAATTCTCTTACTAATAGACACCGACCGTCTGCAGCTGAATGAGAAGTCACGAAATTTTATGACGTCATTAAATTCTGCTAATCTAGTGATCTTTGCCTTGTTCTTAAATTATTATTTTGATTATTTTCTGGACTCAATACAGCGAAACATGCAGCATTGGCGATAACTGAGGTCAATAAAGAGGGCAAATCGGTTAGCAAAAACACAGCGCAGGACTTACTTTTCAGTCCCATTGGTTGCATAACCTTTAAGCCTATCGAGCAGGAGGTGGTAGCGCTGGAATCGTTGGGCAGGCGAGAGCAGTCTTGCGCTGAAGGAGAGAACCGGACGGGAGGGTGTGGAAGTCCTCCTCCTGGCGGTAGCCCCACCACCATTGGTTGTCTGCTCGGTAGAATCCTCGTCGGCAGCTGGTTCCGTCGAGGAGTCCTGTAGGGTTAACTCATCAGCACTCTCAAGGGCATGGAGGTAGAGGTTATATTGGGACATCCACTGGCTGTGTACTGGATCACACTCCAAGGTCAGCGCAATTTGACTGGCGCGTTCGTAGTGTCGGCAGTAAGCTGAGTAGAGATCCACCATACTCGAAAACTAGAATGGTAACATAAAGTTAAAAAATAATACATCGGAAGGGACCAGAGGGGAGGACGGGACTCCAAGGTAGTAGATGTGAGCTCGGCTAAACTGCGCGGCAGCAGAGGAGCATAACCGGAGATTTCACATGCGCTCTAACACAATGTTCAAAATAAATCAAACGAGCAGTAGGGATGAACAACTTAAATGGAAGCAGGAAGCAAACAACGGCCATAAAGATCATATACGGGTTTTGCGGCGACATTATACGTTTGCGAGAGGTTCTGCTTCTCATCAGGTATCGCCAGTATTATCTTTATGGTTACCGATTCATGCTTACGTTTCGAAAACTGGAGGTTCCGATTTCTTTATGAAGTTGAAAACTAGCTGGTGCCTACATTAGTCAACCAAAAGACAGACTGACACCTACTGAAACCCCCGCAGTTGTCTACGAGATAAATTGCAACAATGGAGACGACAATTACGTAGAATAAACAGGGCTAAAATTGCAGACCCACCTACACGGACACAAACTGGAGGCTCAGAGACTAAACCCAAATTTACAACTTAAAACACATATCGAAGAAACTGACTACAACTCCGACACTCGGTGATGTTCTCGTGACCTATGCGATCTTCTCTTCGTGCGACCCTTAGGATATTGATAAAAACCACGATGGGCTCCTCCTGACATGCTTCAAACACTTTCAGCAGCAGGCCATCTGATTTGCAAATACTCTACCCCCTCACCCCACCGGCGACAGTTTTTCTCCTTAAAATCCCGCAAATGGCATTCAAACCCCTAGAATTCTGAACAATGCCTAAGGAGTCTTTTTGACTGTCTGCCGTTTTTACATAGTTTCATTACTGACAACGCCACATGTTCTGCATCATAGTTGCTCTGTACCAAGAGGGAGTTCAAAGGTATTTACCTATATTTCCCTAA